CACACACACTCACACACACACACACACGCAAGTCTTCCTTAAAGTACAACTTGTGTAGTGTTTCCTCAACCTCTCTCTTCTTCACTCTGTCCTGGCCTTCCCCTATTTTATTCTGTCCCCCAACCTCCCTTCTAATGGTGGCTGTTCAGGCACAAACCTAGCTGCCATCTCAACTGACAGAGAACCTCCTGACATTTCTCTCTCCCCCTTTCTATCTCTCTTCATTTCACCCACTCTCCTTTTCTTTCCTTTCTAGTCCCCCGTCTTCACTCCCTCCTCTCACTCCCTCCTTTCACTGTGGGTGGTTGGCGGGTGCTCTGGTGTGGTTTGCTCCTTCTTTCTTATCAAACATCTATCATCTCTATCTCCCCTCCTTCTTTTTTTGTGTTTGTTTCTAACTCTCTTGTAACGCCTCTAATCTTCGGCACTTATATGACCTTATGGTGTTGCAAGTGCCGTAAAACACTTACTAAAAATAAAACAGAACTCTCCTTTTCTTGCCTTTCTAGTCCTTCATCCTCACTCCCTCCTCTCACTCCCTCCTCTCACTTTCTCCTCTCACCCCCTCCCTCTAGTCTTTGTTTCCAGTGTCCAGACCATGGCCATTCTACCACCCTGGGATTTTTCCATCTTCTTTTCTATCTCTTCCCCCTTTTGCTGGTGTTCACTTCTCCTTCTTTTGTCTCTGTGTTAGTCTCCTGTAAAAACTCAAATCTTCGGCACTTATGTGGCCTATTTGTGTTGCAAGTTCCGTTAAACTCTTACTAAAACTAAACTAATCTCTCTTCCTCTGGATGGTTGATGGATCCTCTCGCGTGGGTTGCTCCTTCTTTCCTAGCAAACGTCTATCATCCTCCCAAAGCAGGGACATTAACATGTTCTTATGCACAGTAGAATTGTAAATGGGCTGATTCATCAATGTCATGCTCATAACTGTGCCTGAACCGAACCGCAACAGGGAACTGCTGCTTTTCCTTTCCTAATCCTTACTATCGTCATTTGTCCTTTACTTCTCTTGTATGTTTGTCACACTCTTGTGATCCGCTATTTCCAGGGTGTCTTGATAGTTGAAGCAGACTTTGTGCTGTTGAGGCTAGAGAGGTGAGCAGAGTAACCTTGATTTGATTCCCTGTAACTGTAAGGACTTCTCTGTTGACATCCACCCCTTTGTGCTCATACGACCGTATGCAGTTGCGAGCACCGTAAAACCTCTACTAAAACAAATACCAACAACAAAAAAACAAAAACATCTGTCTTCCTTATCTGTCCTTCTTTTGTCTCTGTGTTAGTCTTCAGTAAAACATCAAATCTTCGGGACTCATATGACCTATTTTTGTTGCAAGTGCCGTGAAACTCTTACTAAAACTAAAACATTGCGCCTCTCCCCTCCCCCTACCCACAGACACCAGCTTAGCAGACAGCTCCGCCAGTGGGGAGCCTCCCCCAGCCCTCCCCCCAAGACAGCCCCTCACAGGGGAGGCCACTGGCGGCCAGGCTAAGCCTCGCAAGGTGGCAGCAGCACAGCCCGCCCGCAGCTACAGAGGTGAGAGTTTGTTGTGTCGGAGAAGAGTCACGTGGGTGAGAGTTTGTGTCTTAGAGAGATGAGAGTTTTGTGTCATGGGGGTGAGAGCGCGTGTCATTGAGGTGAGAGTTCTGTGTCATGGGGGTGTGAGTGTGTGTGTCTGAGAAGAGTGCCATGTGGATGAGAGTTTGTGTCTTAGAGAGATAAGAGTTTTGTGTCATGTGGGTGAGAGTTTTGTGTCATGTGGGTGAGAGTTTGTGTCATGGAGGTGAGAGTTTGTGTCATGGAGGTGAGAGTTTGTGTCATGGAGGTGAGAGTTTGTGTCATGGAAGTGAGAGTTTGTGCCATGGAAATGAAAGTTTTTGTTGGTGAAGAGTGTCGAGTGGGTGAGATTTTGTGTTGTGGAGGTGAGAGTTTGTGTCATGGAGATGAAAGTTTCTGTTGGTGAAGAGTGTCGAGTCGGTGAGAGTTTGTGTCATGGAGGTGAGAGTTTGTGTCATGGAAGTGAGAGTTTTTGTTGGTGAAGAGTGTCGAGTCGGTGAGATTTTGTGTTTTGGAGGTGAGAGTTTGTGCTGCAAAGAAAGGGTTTGCTGTAAGTAAATTCTTAAAACTAATGAATCCCCTTAAATGAGGGGACTTTGGAAGCAAATAATGTCCGTCAGGTGAAGAAAAAAAAAAGTTTGTGTCTTGTCTTTGAGATGGATGTTGTGGAATCTGTTGGATAGCTGTTGTGTTTTATGTATGGGTGTAATGGCTGCTTTATTGTCTGTATAGTATTTGCTTGATAGCTGTTGTATTGTCTGCGTTGAGTTTGTTGATGACTGTTGTACTGTCTGTGTGGAGTCTCAGTGGGCTGTTGGTGGGTGCTCTGGTGTGGTTTGCTTCTTTTTCTCAATCAAACATCTATCGTCCTTATCTCCCCTCCTTCTATTTTGTGTTTGTTACTCTCTTGTAACTCCTCCTGTCTTCGGCACTTATATGACCTTGTTGTGTTGCAAGTGCTGTAAAACGCTTTCTAAAATTAAATTAAAATTTGTGTGTAGTCTGTCTGATGGCTGTTGTATTGTCTGTGTGTAGTCTGTCTGATGGCTGTTGTATTGTTTGCCTTGTTTTCAGGATTCTCCGAAGCAAGCGTTGACTCAGCGAGAACGTTTCCAAAGTCTTCAGCCTCTAGCAAGAAAAAGTCCAGCTCTGGGAGAAAGGCACCGTTGCTCCAGACCAAGAGACAGGATGCAGAAGGTGAGGACAGCGGTCAGCCGAGGCTGTTAGGTGTGACTTAGTGGAAGGAACACTAGGGAAAGACTCTACTTTTTTTCTCTTGTGAGGGATGTGGGTGGAAACATGTTGTGCTGTTGCAGTGTAAGCAGGAGTGATGGTGTTGTTATGTGGCTCAGTTTGTTATAATGGGTTTTGCTGAACTGAATTGTTCTAGAAGATTCAAGAATAATAAATCCGGGCGGATGGCTGGAGGGTACCGTTAGTAGGGCATACCTCTTTTCTTTCCCTGTGCTTGCTTTTTCCTGCACTTAATGACTTATGGTGTCAATATGTTTCTCTTTACTCAAACTAAACTTAAAAGTGAGAGACTACTCAAAATTGCCAGTCTATAAAAAAAAATGGAGCGCTCCATAACCTCAGACACAAGGCGACTTAACATTTAATAGACCGGTGCCAAATGACACCCAACAAATGTCAGCTCTCAAATGGCTGGATAGTTGTCTTCCCATCATGTCATTGTTGAAGTCTTTGGTTTGCTTTGTCAAGCACTAAATGCTGGCTATTGTGATAATGTACATTTCTGTGACTCAAGCGGGTAGTTGCAGGGTACACTGCTAGGTCCAGCTTCTATCCCCCCCCTTTTTTTTTTTGCTTTTGTTTGGGCATTACGTGTAATGATGTCTTGGGAATCAAGCGCTCATCAATTTTTGGGTATATAGAGTTATTGGTATAATCTTAAAGCTTGTTTTTTGTCTTGCTTTCGCTGAAAAAACCCAAAACATCCACATTATTATATCTCCAAATGAAGTTAAGATATTTTGGATTGAAGAAGGGGGGATCACCTTGTTTCAGAGGTAAAATGAAAACGAAAATGGCCACCATAGTTTGGTGACTTCCAAAGCTTGAGATTCTTTGGAAACTGTAAATTTATATTTTTCAGTAAAAGCCACTCAGAAAATTGTTTTTAAATGGACTTATTCAACAAATAGACAAATGGGAATATAAATGTCATTTTCTTCGATTTCATTATTTTGACGAGTGCCTGATTTCAGCACCCTGCCTCACATATTGTTTTTCTCCTCTTTTAAGTTTCCATTATCTTGTCAATATACTTCTCTTTGACTTACACTGACGTTTGAACTATTTTTCTCCAGGTGCGGCCCCTGTCCGCCATGTGGCACCCTCTGCCAACATCCCAGATCGGCCAAAGAAAGTGGCCAGAGTAGTGGCCTTTTCTGACAGGAAGTCCTCAAAATCTGGTGCTAAAAGTGAGTGCTCATCACACAAATTGTTTTTCCATGAGCTATGGCTTTTAGTGTGCTTGTGTGTTTCTCTCTCTCTTGCCCTTTTTTAACTCCCAGTGGAGCACAGGCCATCAACAACATTACTCCAGCGAAGCCTGTCCTGAGCATCCTTTTCTATCTGTTTCCATGATGTCCCCGCTTTTTCAATTTCCGCTGATACCGCTCGCCTCCATGTCATCTTAGGTCTTCCCTTCTTACGCTTTCCATGTGGCTTGTGTGTTTGTTTGCATATATTTGTGAGTGTGTATGTGTGTGTCTCTGTGTGTGTTTTTCTTGAAAGGGATAGTCCAAAATTCCTCTGAAGAGTCCTCTGTGTCTCCGTTGTGAGAATGGAGATAGGTTTATGTTTCTTGCTGCAGTTTTCTCCTCTTGATCTTTCTCTCTTTCCCCGTGGTTAAATATTGCTGTTGGGTGTCACTTTGGTCTATTTGATATCCATTTCTTTGTGGTTGGTTTGAAAGGAGCCTCAGCTAAGTCTTGCGTTTCTCACATCTCTCTGTTTTTGAAGTCTGTGGCTTTGCTTTACCAAGTAGATGTAATTGGGTTTTTATTGTTGCTCCCACAAGATATGATTTTGTTTTTCTTGTGGATAGTTATTTTATTAAGTATCTTGGTCTTTTTTTTTCTTCTTTTTTTTATTTCTATAGTAGAGTGTTTTACGGCGCTCGCAACTGCATAGGTCATATGAGCGCGCGGGACACACCTAATATTTTCAGTTGGTAGGAAATTTTGAATTTTGCCCGGGTGGCGGCCGAAGCCTACTCTTATCGATTTTAGACCACCAAGGGATCTTTAACGTGCGCAACTTGCACACGTGCCCTCCGAGATTTTTCGCCCTAGTCCGAGAAGGCTAGGTGTAGATCTTTCCTACCAGGAAGATCAGGGGTGTGGCTGAAAGACTGCAGTAAGAAGAAGCGAAGGAGTAGCAGTAGAAAGGCTGCAGAAAGAATCAGGAGCCCAGAGGAAGGGGCAAAAGTTGTGACGGGGTGAGGGCAGAAAGTGGAGACGAAAGCAGACGACAGAACATTGCTAGAGAGCAGGAAATGAGGTGAAAGGGGACAAATTTAGAGAAGAAAATTTTTCGGTCGCTACCTGGATTCGAACCCGGGACCTTTTGAGTGAGAGGCCAACACCTTAACCTCTAGGCCACGAGAGCCCCCTATCTTGGTCTGTCTGCTAGGTTACTGTATCCCACTCAGTCTGGGTTGGCCCTGTGGGCAGGATTGAAGCACCTCATCTCTTAAATGACATCCAGATTGTATAGACAGTAGAGAGGGGAGAAGGAAGTATAAAACATAAACAATTACTTAATCAAAGAGGACCTTTCTTATATTACATATGACCGTATACAGTTGCCAGTGCCTTAGAACTTTTACCATAATCACCAAAACTGACCTTTCTTCTCCAGACGTAATCACCACCTCGTCGTGGCGAGCCGGCCAGGAGCTTGTAATGAAAGAACTCGGCATGGCCCTCAAGGCCAAGGCCAAATCGATGCCATCCAGTGGCACGGCAGCCGCCGCCACTGGGGAAGAACCCGCTGCGCCCTCGCGAGACGCCGCACTGGCAGAAGTGAGGAGAGAGGGCCGGCAGCCTGATGGGGCAGAGTCGACCAACCCCGATGCGGCCAAAGCGTCTGCTGGGGCTCGACCGAGGGACCCTGAGACTGAGGCTGTGGTGGCCAACGCCCGAGCCCTGTCTGAGGACGCTCGCAACATGCTGAGTGAGCTAAAACTAGGTGAGATCAGGTTTATCATTGTTTTTCTCACTCGAGAGGAGATCAGATTTATCTTATTTTCACACAAGATGAGATCAAATTTTTATCTTCTTTGCTTTCTCTCACAAGATTAGATCAGATTTGTCTTCTTTGTTTTCTCTTGTGAGATGAAACCAGGTTTATCATCTTTGCTTTCTCACATTTTGTAAGATTACATCACATACTTTGAATTGGTCTATGAATGTCTGTGTTGTGTTAGTCAAGGAATGACCTTTAGGTTTAGCTGCTTTTGGGTTGTGCCTGTGTGGACTCTTGTGTGTTGCCTGTGTGTATGAACGACTTACCTGTTAGGCTGAGTGAGATCAGGTTTTCCTGTTTTTGTGTCTGTTTATGAGGTTTTGTTTCTTTTATTGAAGGAAGCATTGCCTGGAGAGCTGGTGGTTGGAGCCTCCGCTGGCGGTCTTCTTTCCTCTGTTGTTTCTGTTGCTCTTTTCCCAGCACAATATTGCTGGTGGTTGGCGGTTGGAGGGTGCCGCTTGTAGGTCCTACTTTTTAATTTTTTACTTTCCCAGCACTAAGTGACCATTACTTTGTCGATGTGCATCTCTTTACTCAAACAAACCAGCACAAAATGATAATTGTGGGTGGTTGGCGGGTGCTCTGGTGTGGTTTGCTCCTTCTTTGCTATCAAACATATATCGTTCTTATCTCCCCTTCTTTTTTATGTTTGTTACTCTCTAAAAGACTCTTGTAACACCTCTTCTGGCGCTCATATGACCTTTATGCTGTTGCGAGCGCCATAAAACCTCTACTAAAACAAACAAAAAAACTTTCGCTGCTCTAAGTGACCATTATTGTGTCGATGTGCATCTCTTTACTCAAACAAATCGGCACAAAATGATAATTGCTGCATCAGTGTGCTTCTACGTACTAAAATGAACAAACTGCACAAATAACCTGGGGATGTTTTCAACATGGTGACCAAGCTCAATCTAGGCGACATCAGGTTTCCCTACTTTCTGTCTGGCTGTTTCTGTGGGTGTGTGTGTTGATTGGTGAAGGAATGACTTGTTGGATCTGGTGTTCTCCATATTATGCTGACCCAGGACAGTCGTGATGGGATCAGGTCTTGCCTACTTTGTGTGGGTGTGGCTGTGTGTGTATGGATGTGTGTGTGGTGTTTTTTTTGGGGGGGGGGGTATGGGTGTGGGTGGGACTTTTTTTTTACAATTTTGATTTTTAAAATTTTATTGCTTCTTTATTGAAATGTAGGTGAAAAGGAGGAGGGTGCGGGGGGATAATGATGTGTATAATATTTGTTAGATAGTGTGTCTTTACAGGAGGAGGAAATCAGCATTTATTGAATGTGACAATTGACCAACTGTGGCCATGTGTCTGGCAGTAGGCTAATAAAAAATAAACCAGTTCTTCACCTTGGGTCTTCTTCAGAAATTCCTCAAGGGCATTGGGACGTTTTTATGGATTTATGGATATGTTTTCCTCTTTGTCCGAGTAAAACAGTAGAATTGCAGCTCCCCCACCCCAATGATCTATGCCTGGCCAGGAGTGTCGAGAAATCTTTTGTGCCCACAGAAGGAATGTCACATTATTATGTAAATTCAACGCCCCCTGTGTCCCTTGTGTCCCCCCCCCCCCAACCTCCTGTCAAGGTGCCCTTGAGGCAAACCATCATCCCTTGGGGGTATTGCTGGCCTGACAGTTTAAATGGCGTGAGTGTTGGGGTCTTTTCAACAAGATTTCTCTTGTGTCTCGGGTTCCCCTTCCCCCCTCAGCCCTCAATGCCACTGTGCCTCCCCTAAGATTCCTCCTGGCTGCTCTGACAATTATGATACTGAAGCCCCTCTCCTTTGGCTTTGTTTGGGAGTAGAATTTCTTTTATTTTTCATTGTTTTTTTTGGTTTTTTTCTACTTATTTCCTTTCATTTTCTTTTAAACTTCCTTTCTTTTTTTTGTTCTTGTTTTTGTTCCTTCGTACTTTTCTTCTTTTATTACATTCTTTCCCTCTTTCTTTTCCTCTTTTTTTCTTCTTTTTTAAAATAGTTTTTCTTTATTTTTTTCCCCATTATGCAAAAGATCTCTGTTTCTATTGTGCGTTGGTGCAGGCCTTTTAGAATAAATTGTGCTATCTTCTTCACTTTCTTTCCCTCCCTGATTCTTTTATCATCAGTTTTCTTCTCAACTCTCACACAGGGAATTCAGAAAGCTCTGCAGGAGCAGGATTTCGACCTGCTGTTAAGAGAAAAGCTCCAAAGTGGACAGGTAAGTTGAGAAACATTTATATTTGTATGTCTTGCATGCTTCTTTCCTTCCTCTCACGCTCACTTGTGCTGACTGCTTTTTTCTGACCTATTATTGCATGCAACTAAGCAACTTTGCTTGGTAAGTGGCGGGTGTTCTGGTGTGGTTGGTTGTTCTTTCCTATCAAACATTTATCGTCCTTATCTCCCCTTCTTCTTTTTTATGTTTGTTACTCTCTTGTAACACTTCTGATCTTCTGGCGCTCATATGACCTTATGCAGTTGCAAGCGCCGTAAAACCTCTACTAAAACAGAAATAAAACTAACTTTTTGTATCACTGCTTACCTCTGGCACTTAAATGACCTAATAGTGTTTCAAGTGCTGTAAAACTCTTACTAAAACAAACAAATTTTCTCTCCTTGTTTGTTTCTGTCCAGTAATAACACCTTTAATTTTTGACAGTCATATGACCTACCCGTGTTGTAAGTTTGGTATTCCTAAAACGGGGAGCTACAATGGTCCAGAGATACAGTGTTCACCTCGCATTTAATAGGTCTGGGTTCGAAACCTGACAGTAATGGAACATTTCTTCTCTAAAAATTTTCTCCTTTAACCTCCTTTCCTGCTCTTTATCTATGTTCTGTCATCTGCTTTCGGCTTGACTTTCTGCCCCATCCCACTCTTCTTGGCTTCTGATAATTTTTGCTGCCTTTCTACTGCTACGCCGTGACTCCTTACTGCTGTATTTCAGCCATTCCTTTGATCTAAGGGTAGATAAGATTGAACACTAACACCTTGCCTTCTTGGATAAGGACGAAAAAATCTCTGAGGTCCCCCATGTGCAAGTTGTGCATGTTCCTTGGTGGTCCCAAAATTGATAAGAGTAGACTTTATTGTGTTGCAGGTGCCGTAAAACTCTTACTAAAACTAAAGAGTAGGCTTTGGCTACTACCTTAGCAAAATTCATAATTAATTCCTACAAAACTGAAAATGCTTAAACTTAAAGTAATGTCCCCCTGCGTGCTCATATGACCGTATGCAGTTGCAAGTGCTATAAAACACAAACTAAAACGGAACTGAAAAAAGTCAAGTGTTTCTCTTTATTCCTACAAAATGTCCCTGTTGTGTCCCTCAGAGCCAGAGCCCCAACAGCAGCCGACGGAGAAGAGCCGTCACTATGACCCTGAGTCTGTGCGTCGCTACATGGCCAAGCAGAAGGCTGACCGGATCAAGAAGATACATGATGTGAGAGAGGATCTGTTTGTCTTGTCTTGTCTGGCTGGTTGTGTGTGTGTGGGGAGGGAGGGAGGGAGGGAGAGAGAGAGATAGATTAACTATACCCTGACTCCTCTTATTCACCCAGTTACGTCTCTTATCTATCTAAACATTATGTCTGGTGGACATTTGGTTGTTTATTTCTAGTTATTTATGTGTGTGCATGCGTACCAGTGTGTGTGTGTGTGTTTGTGTTGCCATTTATTGGAGCTTTTCTCACTCAAGGAGAACAATATCAGTCTTTCTGTCCATGTAAAATTGAAAGAGCACTGTAGTGTATATTGGGAATAGAATTTTAAAGCACTCTTGCTATATTAGTGAAATGTAATTGTCTCAACTTTGTGCTGATGCTCCCTGTGGAGTGAAGTAAAAGGGGAAGAAAGCGAACATAATAGAGCAGATTGTCATCAACAAAGGAAAGGAAAAAGAAAGAAAATGCTTTCTTTGAACTGGTATTTACAAAGCCTGTGCGTTTTTTTGTGTGGGCCTTGGGGACTATGGTCTGTAGAGCTCCTCACACCGGTATGTGTTGCTTGGCAATTAGGTGTTTTGCTGTTCTTGCAGAGACCCAAGTTCAATTCCTGAGTGGGGAGAAATTTTGATTGAGTGTATTGGTCTCTTTGCTGGGATTTGTATCCCTTTCAGCTCGGGGCTTGCCAAACTGGAAGGGTTAGGAGCCAACTTCCAAATGATCCAAATTGTGCCTATGGGGATTGGGGTGGGTGTAAAAAAAAACACATTGAAAGCTCTTTATTGTGCATGGGAAGAAAGCTGGCAGTGTGGTAGTGATGTGCTATGTGTGTTGTGTGTGGTTTAGCTCATGTTCTCTGGCTGCCCTAAGATCTGTTTGTGCTGCCCTCCACAGGAAAAGGCAGCCAGGCAGCGGGACAACGAAAAGAGACAGCAGATACTGACGGATTTGGCGCAGACACAGCGCAAGAAGGCCGTCACGTCGGCCAAAAGCAGAGGCCAGGCAGATGGGGGCCGGAAGGTGGCCAGGGATAGGAGCAAGGGAGGCCAGGTGAGTTGAGGTCTGGAGGCTGGATGAGTAAAAGAGGAAAGCTAGGGAAGACATAAGCTGGTTCTAGAAGCCAGGTGATCTCATAAGGCACGGTGATCTCGAAAGGTTATGTGGGGGTCCAGAAACTTGATCTGGAGATTTTCTTGTTCTAGAGTCTGGATGATCTGTAAAGGTTACTTAAGGTCTTAAGGGTCTGGTGATCTGGAAAGGTTACGTGAGGTATAGAGGCCTTGTGATCTCAGAACGTTACGTGAGGTCTAGAGGTCTCATGGTCTCTAAAAATTATGCTAGTTCAAGAGGCAGGGTGATCTTTGGGAGCCAAAGAGGTGATGATGCAGGCCAAACTCAGAAAGCCTGGCTAATGTGAGCCTGTTTAAGAAGTCAGTGGAGACTTTGTGTTGGGCAGTTGGACAATTTGTGCTCCATGAGTGGTGGAGAAAAGGATGGAACTCTTTGTCAAAAATGTTACATTTTGTGTCTTAGTTTCTCTTACTACTTTGAAGGAATTTTTAGTTTACTGTGTTGAAAAGGGTGGTAAACCGATACACTTGCGTACTAGCAATTTTTGTTGTCGTTTCCTCAGGCTGGTACAGGAAAATCAGACAAGGAAAATGTAGCCATGGATATGGACCAGGACGACGACTCCACTCTGACAGAAGACACAGAGGATGACTCAACACCACAAGCCACGCCAAGAAAAGAGGAGTGAGTGCTTGACTTCGTCTTTGTCCTCTCCTTGACGACAGCTCTCACTGTCTCCAGAACCCTTTTTATCTCTCACGCTTGTCCATATATTCTGTAATATGGAGTAATATGGCAACTTCCCTTATGGTATGTTCTACTGACCTTCTCTCCTCTTTGAGTGTCTGTTGGGCCTTGTTTCTACCCAAGAACAAATTGACCTTTATTCCTCATTTCTAAAAAAGCAGTTACGTGTCATAGGCCCGTTTTGAGTTGTATCACTTCACTCTGCATGGTGTAGTCTCTAGTAAAATGACAGTCTTAGTGGGTGGTTGGTGGGTGCTCTGCTGTGGTTTGCTTCTTCTTTCGTATCGAACATCTTTATGTTTATCATCCTTATCTCTTCTTTTCTTTGTATGCTTTTCTTTTCTTTGTATGCTATTCTCATATTCTCAAGTAACACATTGAGTGTTAGGCACTTATGTGACCTATATGTGTTCCAAGTGTCTTAAATCTCTTACTTAAACTAAAACTCTCCGAACAATTTTCTGAACGAATGATCAACTCTATGAAAAATTAACAGTCTGAATAATAATGTCTCCAGGACCAAAGGCAAGCACAGAAAACACAAGTCTGACCCAAGCCGCCAGCAGCCGTTGATGAGCCTGAACTCTATGACTGGTGGCGCCACCACCACCACAGGGGCCACGGCTACCATGTCTGCCCTCGCCACCACGGGGGAGACTGACAGCCCCTCGAAAGCTGTTGAGATCAAAGGTCACAAACTTGACCTGGATGTTGACACCGTGTTGTCCAGGTTTTCACAGGTGTGTTGGGGGTCTGCTGTTCCTCAAAGTTCTGGGTATTTTTGTACTTTTCTCAAGTTTTGGGGTTTTAAAAACTATTATATCACTAGTTTCGTAAGTAGTTATGGCTGTGATGTTTTCAGGGTTTTCATCAATGTCCATGCTTTTCCTCCCGGGAGTATCTCACACAGCTTGAGGGTCTTGGACAGACAAGGCAGAAGCAGTCTGCTTTCTAGATGATCTATATTGTGTTGACAGGAACGTAAAATGTTCTTACTGGTGTAAACTGGTGTGAATTGTGTCAGTAGGAGTATGTAGGAGTTACGACAAAGGTAGAACTCTCCTCTTCTCCATGTGCAGGTGGTTCAGCAGAGGAGAGGCCTGGACCCTGCAGCCTCGTCGGGCAGTGCGGCGCGTGGACCAGCCTCAGGCGCTCAAGGTACTAGCGGGCAGCCCGGGCCCGAGACCGTCTTTGCTCTGGGCACGACCAACTCTGTGGCCAGGACCAACGAAGAGAGGAAGAAGGTGCTTCAGGCCACGGCCATGTCCCTGCAGGCTCGACTAGCGGAGGAGAAGAGGAAGTTTGAAGGTCAGTTATCGCAGGCTGTGTGGACTTGTGATTGTGGTGTAATGTCTGTGGTCTTTTCAAAGTGGTGGACTGGTGTGTTTTGCTCCTTTTTTCCTATCAAACATGTCTCCTGTCTTTTTTGTGTTTGTTACTCACTTGTAACACTCTACTCTTCTGCACTTATATGACCTTATTATGTTGGAAGTGCAGTAAAACTCTTACTGAAACAAAAAACATAAAGTGGTGGACTGGCCTTCTTGTTGTTGTGGTGAATGGGTTTTCTAAAAGCAGGTTAATGTGTTCTGTGAGTTAAAACAACGGTAAGTTGTATGGTCTTTTATAAGCAGTACAGTGGCTTTAAAAAGCAATGTGGGAGGCTAAAAACAAGAATATAATTCTTACTTATTTGAATTTAGTGACACCCTCCCACCCCAAAAGGAGGTCATGTATGGCTTCAGGTTATTTGTTTGTATGAGAGGCAGCTAGTTCCTCCCCATGTTTCCGAGTTATGTTGGTAAAACATCATGTACATGTGGAGCATGAACTTTGAACTGTTCAGTGCTGGGGTGTTGTAGGTGCGCCCCCCACCCCCCAAGTCTTGTAACACTGCAATCATTAAATGTTGTTGAGTAATGTCAACACCTTTTGTTCCCCGAAACAAGTAACTCTAATACTCTGGCTTATTATACTTTTTTTTCAGCCCTTGACATGAGAGCAGGTGGTCAGCAGCCAGAGCCCAGCAGCAGCAACACGACCCGCCACAGCAGGATTGTGGGCAACAGGACGGACCATGCAGTCTTCACCACAGATCTTCCAGGTTAGTGTTGTTGTTGTGTTTGCAGAGACATAACTTTTTTTTCAGAGAGATTGTTTTTCTTTGTCATCGAGATGGGATGCTTGTCTGTGAGAGGGAGACGAGATGTTTCTTTCTGTGAAATTGTTTCTATGAGTGGTGCGTGCCTAGGCAAGATGTTTCTTTCTGAGTTATTGTTTCTCTTTGTTCTGACCTTTGTGGATGTTTCTCTGTGAGAGGGAGACAAAGTGTTTCCCTTTGAGTGATGGTTTCTCTTTATGCCAGCCGTGGAAAAACAGTTTTTCTTGAAAAAGTTAGTTATTCATGTAGGAATTTGATATTGCCCGACTGTGCTGAAGGCATTTCCCTTAAATTGAAACGGACTTATTTTTCTCTTTATTGACAATGGTTTTTCCTAAATCAATTTTCGCTGGCTTGCTCCCCTTGATACCAGAGTGTTTAAAGTGAGGGATCGTCAATGTGCTTCTCTTAACTCAAACAAATTTGAAAGTGCCTCCATTGTGTCTGTCTGCCCAGGTTCCCGTGCCCTGGTGGGCTCCAGCGACAACATGGAGCGTGAGGAGATGGCAGCGGCCAGAATACAGGCGGCGTACCGCGGACACAATGTACGGCAGGCGCTGAACTGGGAGCTGCCCAGTGGTCAGACCTTTGGCCAGAGGATGAAAGGAGGCCACAGAGTAAGACATGCTAAAATATTTCTCTCGTTGTCTCTTTCTTTCTGTCCTTGTGGCTGTATTTTTGCCACTTCTCTCCTTTTCTTTTTTTAGTTCTGTCTAGTTGCTGTTATAGATCCCGTTGTTGTTGTTGTTGTTGTTGTTGTTGTTGCTGCTGCTGCTGCTGCTGCTGCTGCTGCTGCTGCTGCTGCTGCTGCTGCTGCTGCTGCTGCTGCTGCTGTTGCTGTTGTTGTTGTTGTTGTTGTTGTTGTTGTCAATCCAGTTCTTTCTAGAAGCTGAGAGTTTCTTGCTGAATTTTGTCTTGAATGTTGTTTGATGGCTTAATGGAGGACTTCTGTGTGCAGGTGGACCACATTTTGACTTCTGTATCTCAACACATGCCTCTTCCTGTGATAGCTGTCATTATTCACAAAACATATTGAACAGACCCCCTTCTCATTCTTGCTGTCAAGTTAGTGAATCCCATCACTCTCATTGTCTGGTTGGCAAATCTTTAAGTCATCTGATTAGTGAACCTCATCACTCTTTGTCTCGTCAATATACATCCTCCTCACACTTACGTGGTAGTGGGTGGTTGGCGGGTGCTGTGGTGTGGTTTGCTTCTTCTTTCCTATCAAACATCCGTCGTCCTAATCTCCCCTTCTTCTTTTTTATATTTGTTACTCTCTTGTAACACCTCTAATCTTCTGGCGCTCATATGACCTCATGCAGTTGCAAGCACCGCAAAACCTCTACAAAAACAAACTTATGTGGTAGCCGTATCTCCTCCCTTCATCGTCTAGTAGGAGACCCTCTTTACCCCTTTCTCTCTCTTTCAATTTTCCCAGAGCAAAGAGCCTGTGCAGGGTGGAGAAGCTGATGAAGATGCCTCGGAGCTGACAGAAACTTCCACCTTCAGCGAGATCACGGCCACAGAGGCTTCTGATGGAGGTCACCACGCAGCTACTCCAGCAACTGTGCCTGGGAACAAGGTGGGGTGCCCGGCTCTGTGGAGAATAAGTCTCTTGTTGTTGTCTTTTGCAATGCCTCTCCTCCAAAACCGGTGTGTGGTTGGTAGGTGCTGTGCTGTGGTTTACTCTTTCACCTATTTCTTTTTAATGTCACTTGTTTTGTTACGGGCAAACTTTGGCTCTTGGTGGTTGGCAGGAGCTTTGATGTGGTTTGCTCCTTCTTTCTTATCGAACAATTACTGTTATTATCTCTCCTCCTTCTCTTCTTTACATGTTCTCCTTAGTAACTCCTCTAATCTTTGATAACTAAAATGGGTCCATTGTTGTGGTAACTTGCTGTAAACTATACATGTAAGCAACCATCATACCCTTGTTAAAACTCTTTCAAATGATTACAGGGTGTTGGTGGTTGGAAGAAGTCACTGATAGATCCTATTTCTTTTCTTTTTATCTCTGTTGATGCTGTTGTTTTGTTCTTTCCCAACACAAAATGATTATTATTGTGCCAATGTGCATTTTTTTTACTCAAAGAAACAAACAAAGATGTAAGAGATGATTCATCACACATAACTGAATCTGTTTGAGGAATCTCATTGCTTGTGATTGTGTCTGCAGAGGTCACACCACAGCAGTCGCCCAAAACGCCCGGAGGGTGTGTCAGACGCCCCTCCCCCTGCCACCTTCAAGCCTAGCTCGCAGTATGCTTGGCACCCATCACAGGCTGACCCCTTCAATGTCATGTCGGTGTTCACGCGTCAAAACAGATACGTGGCCACGGGTAAGTTCTCGATTATGTGCTCTTGTTGGTATAACTGTGTATAGGATGGTCTTTTGTGTAAAGTATTGGCAGATTGCATTGTGTACTGGCAGGTTGCATTGTTAAGCAGCGCCACTGCATGTAGCCCTTTGGGGGGCCCAGGGCATGACATATTCATATATCTTTTCTTTTTCACTGCTATGTAATAAATTGATTTATAGATCTTGCTATATTATTTTTTGTACAGAAAAAGTGTGGAGACATCAATAAATATCCATTACATTATAAAAAAGTAAAATTTGATTTACAGCTAGACACCTTTGTGCTCGACCTTTAAGAGATTGTTGGTACCCAGGGTACCTCTGTGGGCCTGTTGGGCTCTACAGTGGCTCGCAGTAGATTCATAGCTACTACTGTTAGCCTCCTGGATTGCTAGGCTATTGCAGATGAAGGTTGATTGTCTGAGGTTTAATCACTGGAGGTTTATATTTCTGTCATATCCTTTTCTCTTTCCCTGTTCCCTGTCTAGGAGCCCCTCGTGCTGTATTTGAAATATTCGTCTTATTTCTTCCTTGTTTTGTCGGGAACTGTGGGTCCAACTTCTTGTTTTCCTGGCGTTATTTCTGGATATTTTATCTTGCAACTTCCCTTGCACCTTGCAATTGGCCATAGTTGCATTGAGTTGGTTTTGTTACTTGTTCTATGTTCTCTCACCTGTGTGTTTTTTTCTTCAGGTTCGGACCAGCCTGACTTGCCCCACAGAAGCAGCCCGGCCACATCTACCTCTAGACCAGCGGCCAGACCAGCAGCGACAGCTGATGCAGCTAACAATGAGTTCCTGGCTAGTCTTGATCTGACCTCATTAAAGGTATGGCAGTTTGATGTTTGATGCAGGATTTGTTTTGCGTTGTTTGAATGTTTCAATTGTTTTTTTCTCGGAAAAATTTTGTTGGCTGTGTCGTTATCGTAGCCTACGTCTATCACTGTATTTATCATGCTTTCTCCAGCCATTGGATAGCTCTATCATGATGTCTGCTTTATCCTCCAGCTTTGTGGCCTGCTCATTAAGTGACCAAAGTTACATGAGCCACACATAGGTGACGGTTGTGAGGTGTGGAATTGCTTTTTACCAACGTGTGTGATCTGTCTTTGTCACAACAGTTGCCTGTGATAAAAATGGATTTTGATAGTTCTTTCGTATGTTTATTGACAAATAATAACAACTTTATAATAACTGACAGAAACGATTATCTATGTGTGTGTGCATGTTTATGGCTGGTTGGTGGCTTCTCCGGTGTGGTTTGCTTCTTCTTTCCCGTCAGTTATCTGTCATTCTTATTTCTCTTCCTCCTTTTCTTTGTACCTTACTCTTTAGTAACATCTCTAATTGTGGGCACTGGTACGACCTTATTGTGTTGCGGGTGCTGTAAAAATTCTTTCTAAAAGTAAAACTGATGAGTGTTTGTCTCCCCCCCCCCCCAAGCAACCTGTGATAACAACGGATGAGACGGTGGTGATGGGCCACACAGCCTCAGGCATGCCTCTGATAGCCAAACACCGTTTGACGCGCCTGGAGGCCACAGCCACAGAGAAAGTGCCAAAAGATGAAGAAGAAGAGGAGGAGGAGGGTTACAGTGAAGCGTCTTCCCAATCCAGCCGTTCTGCCAACTTGCCATCTAGGGCTTCCCACTCTCGACCGGGGGCCGCCGCCTCTCTTAGGTTTGTTACGTTGTGGTGTTATCTCTTTCTTTCATCTACAGGCTTTGGCTTTGTGACTTTTGTTTTTTCGCTGTCTCTAACTTTTGTGACTTTGTCTTCTACAGTTTTCTGGCTTTGTGACTATTTCTCTAGTTTTACGACTTTGTCGCAGGCTTTTTGACTTTGACTATGGCTTTGTGACTCTGTTTATAGTTTTGCAAATTTGTCTCTGGCTTTGTGACCTTGTCTATAGTTTTATAACTTTGTCTCTGGCTTTGTGGCCTTGTTTATAGTTTTGTATATTTATCTCTGACTTAATGGCTTTGTGTCTTCTACAGTTTCTGGCTTTGTGATTTTGTGTCACCTCTACAGTTTCTGTGGAGTTAACTTGAAGTTCACTTGCTGGAGCCAAACTTTTGGATTTCTTTCTTACATTGTTAACTTCATTTACTGAGGGGAAGCAACTCTCATGGAATGTGGTCTAGAGCAGTCTTTTGTTTAAAATTTAGAAAGGTGTGAGTTAATGCCAACAGGACTTCGCTGTATTCCAGGCGTTAAATTTGAGCTTCAGGTTACCTAAATTGTGTTGTTGAAAGGAGCTGTTTGTCTCAATATCATCCTATATGTGTGGTTTGGAATCACTTTTCTTTCTATTTGAATGTACCATATTCCACTGTCTAGTCGTGAGACATTTTTGTGCTGTTGAAAAGACAAGTTCATTGAATGTTTACCATGTTGCCTAAATTTGGGGACTTACTGCCCGTTACACCATCTGGCGTTTAGGGCAGCAACAAAGGATCTCCAGCTCTGTCTGGTTTGGGCCATCTTGGTCAATGTCCCCCACGAATAGTTCCAGGGCTTCATTTCAGACTTTACTGTGCGTCTCTAGGTCACTTTGGGTCTTCCCAAATTTGGGGACATTGCCACATATTGGCTTGCTAGTAAAAACTGTTTTTCTTTAGACTAGAACTTTCATGTTTTGAAAAATCTTCAAAAATGTGAAAGAAAACCTATGTGTACTTTCAAGGTCTTGTTCTGAACTCATCATTTTTCTGTTTGTAGGTCAAATGAAGCAGGTTCCAGAGTAGAGAAATCATTACAGCAAGCCAGTGTCAGATCAGAACATGGCTATTCTATGTCTTTTGAAAGGTAAGTGTAGGTTTTTGTTGAGTGAAGTCATATGTCATGCAGCCAGGGGAAAATGGATTAGGGTCAAAATAGCTCCATAAGATTTTAAAAAAAAAGCATTTTGGGTGAGGCAGGAGAAGGGGAGGAGGTGGGTATGAGGAAGAGAGTGGAAAGTTTCTTTGGGGGCACTTTCTGTCTAGATTGAGAAGTAACCTTTCTCCTTGCTAGTCACTCTAGTATACGAGTCCATAATAATGGTATGAAAAAACAGCAGAATATTACCACATTGGGACATTGTTTTTTTTGTTTCATTTTCATAGGAATGTATGAGCTGTGACACAGTCGTTAAACAGTTTTGCAGTAGACAGGTTATAAAGTTTTTATAGTTCCATGTAACATCTTGGACTAGTTAATGGAACATGTATAAGTGAGTTTGTTTGAGTAAAGGGAAGCATGTCGACACAATGATGTATAAATGAGTGAACCACCAATGTCCACCCACAGTGATGAAGAGGCCACGCCGGTCCCACACTCCAACCAGAAGAGGTCAGGTGCTGCAGGCAGCTACGTCCGACAAGTTTCTGATGCTGGCCAGGAGACAGACGTGTCCCAGATGAGTGAGGACGAGCCTCGCCACATGAGGTCAAAGGTGAGCTATTGCATACATTGTGATCACTCCTTAACTACAGTTCTCTTTCTTTGTCGTTTCAAAAGCAGGTCCTGTATTTTGACTGATAAGTGTCAGACTCTGCCATACGCCATTTTAAAAACTGATTTTAATGATGGAATCTGACTTTGAATGTCACTGTGAAGCTCATTCTGAACAGTAGATTTGTTCTTGGAGATAGGTCATTCTATGCTATTTTTATTTATGGTGTTCTAGAGGGGTTTTTTGGGTGGACGAACTGCTCCCTCTCCTTTTGGACAGAAGCTCATCCTTTTGGACAGAAGCTCATCCTTTTGGACAGAAGCTCATCCTTTTGGACAGAAGCTCATCCTTTTGGACAGAAGCTCATCCTTTTGGACAGAAGCTCATCCTTTTGGACAGAAGCTCAAAGATGTTTTTGTTATTCTACGACAGGTAGTTTTGTTGTTCTGTTGCTGACAACTGACAGTTTAATTTTCTTTGACTGACAGCTGGATTCGAATGCTGGAGCCCCCAGGGTGGAGCCACAGCTCTCGACAGTCTCACGTGACAAAGCGGGTGTGTCTGGGGCAGCTCGTGGGCGGTCCGAGCCAGAGGGTGGACGCCTGTCGCCGAACTCCCTGGCCAACAAGTTGTCGGCCAACCTGAACTACCTGGAGAGCATGGAGGAGTCTTTGCGTCAGCTGACGGGCGTGGAGCGGGCCCGGGCGGTGGCTCTGGCACAGCAGGAGACAGTGTCTGTGGCTCAGGTGCTCAAGGTAAGGGTAAAATGGTTTGGAATATTGCAGTCTGTGTGAAGGAATGGGGGAATGGTTCTGTGGTGACAGAGGACTGTAGGGGGTAGAGGGTGCCCAAGGTAAGGGTATAATAGC